GAAAAACAACAATGTAAACAGGGGAATTTAGAAAGCTACCCTCATGTTCACGGAAAGAAATGAGTTCAAGAAAGACCTCAAAGCTTTCACCTCAGGCTGATCACAGATACTGTCAACAATTGAAAAGAAAAAATAAACACCCTGGGGAAAGAGGATCATCAGATTTACCTTATAAAATTCAAATGTCCAGTTTTCAACCAAAAGTGACAAGGCATACAAAGGTATGGCCCATTGAAAAAAACGAAAAGAAGTCATCACTGAGGAAGCAGACAGCAAACTTACTAGACCAAAGACGTAAGAGAGGGTCAGAATTCCACATCCAGCAAAATTCCTCTTCAAAAGTGAGGCAGTTTGCTACCACCAGAACCGTTTTATGAAGATCACTAAAGGAATTCCTTCCCTTTGAAATGGAAGGATGCTTGCTAGACAGTCACTCAAAGCTGTGAGGAGAAATCAAAATCTCCAGTAAATGTAAACACATGGCCTGTTATAAAAAGCTCGGATTACTATAATTTTGGTTTGGAAGTCTACTTCTTATTTTCTACAGGATAGAATAGGCAAATGCAAATGCATAACAAACTGCTCTATCTTACCAGGCACACGGTGTATAAAGATGTGATCTGGGACCGCACCAACAGAAGGGGCTGTACAAGGGCAGGGGTATCTATGCTATTCCGACTGGCCTAATTTCGGTTATGGTAGCATCAGGAAGTTAAGCGTAATCCCTGTGGCAACCACAAAGAGAGCATCTATAGAACGTATACAAAAGGACAAGAGAAAATATTCAAAATGTGTTGCTATAAAAAAAAAATCAACTACAAAAGGCAATAAGGAAGTGGGGGGCACAGAGAAAACAATAAAATGGAAGAAATAAGTCCCTTCTTACAACTTACTAAATGTAAATGTATTAAACTCTCTAATCAAAAGGCAGAAGTTGAAGATGTCCCACTAGGAAGCTCCAGGCCTGCGCTACCCCCATGGAAACATGGAAAATACGTACGTAAAAACAACTACTGACTTGACTAAAAGAACTTCACGGGACCTCTGGAAATCAGACAAAAATGTACAGCACCCGGATGAATGCCCAGTCAAGAAAAAGCCACAGGCACAACGGTAGGTAGTTTTGTGGCAGTTTTGCTTGCCTTTGCCTCGACCCTTCCTAGCACAATAATGCACGGTTGGGAGGAAGCAGCCCAGTTCCTGGTTCCCTACCTTGTGCTGGAAGGAGGAGAGCAGAACTCATCTGCAGTGCTCAGAGCTGTCTGGGCTCCCGAGAGACTGGTGTCTGCCTCGCCTGGCCCGGAGCTCAGGTGGGGGAACACGGCACAGGTGAGCCGGCAGGCGGCCCAGAGCCCCGGAGCGCAGCCGCACGAGACACAGTGCGGAAGAGCCGCAGGAGGAGGGCAGACCTGCTTGGAGTGGGAGAACTTATTTGAAGTGATGGACAAAAATTTCTCAAACGTGAGTAAAGAAATGCACCTACAATTTTAAGAAACTCAACACATTCAACAACAAATGTAAATCCAGAGACACCCACAGCAAACACCAGAAAACTGAAGGGCAAAGCGGACAGCCCTACAGTACAGGACTCCGCAGTCCCTCACTCTCTGGAAGCCAGCACAGCCAGGTAGAAGATCAGGAGGGAAACTGAGGACTTGCACAACATTACAGACCACTCAGACCTAAAACAGACAGACAACATCCCTGCCAACAGCAGCAAAGCAAAATACACGTTTCCCTCAAGTGCACAGGGAACATTCTCCACAACAGACCACGTTCTGTAAGGCCACGAATCAAGTCTCAAAAAAATTTAAAAAGACTGAAAGCACACAAAATATTTGCTCTTCCCACAGTGGACTGAAGCTAGAAATCAGGGACAGAAGGGAGACCTCCTGAGTATGTGAAAAGTTGAGCAGTACATCATCACAAGGGAAAGTAGAACCTGTCTCGAGACGTATCAAAACTAAAAGCTGTGCTGAGAAGGAAACTTGCAGCTAACAGACGCTTACATTGAAAAAGAAGAAAGGTCTGAAATCAAAAACCTACCTTTTACCGTAAGGAACTAGGAAAAGAAAAAACTAAGCTGAAAGCTGGCAATAGGAAGAAAACAGTATTAAAGCAGAGACCGAGAACAGAAAACAATGGAGAAAGCCAATGAAGTCAAGAGTCGGTTCTTCCAAAAAAAATACTCGCCATAGTGGCAAACCTTCAGCTAAATTCCTATGGCAGGGGAACGAGGACAAGGGCTTTCTTTTTTGTGGGATTAAAAAAATTTTTTTAAAAAATCTCATTTCCACACCAAAATATCAGAGGCCAAAAAAATGTAAAGTCGTGAGTTTATTGCATATGTAACAAAATGAACCTGACCTCCTGGGTCCAGCCTGCTGTACAATCACTGTTGGTTGTGTGTTTCCAGCTGGTTCCATAACCACATTAAATAGAACTAGTATTTCTTTAAATACTTTTGATTTTGACATAAAACAGAACATTAGTGTACAATTTTCACAAAATAAATCCGCAATAAAAACAGTGGGAAGAATAACAAGGATAGCAGCAATACTTAAAAACAAGACGTTACAAAATAAATTAAAAAATACATTATAAAGTGGTTGAGAAACAAAAATAAACAAATTTTTAAAATTCATACTATGTTTCGGGAAGGCTGCCACGTGGCCCACACCTGGCTGCAGACGGGGCTGGGGGGTGGGGCATCTCCTCGTCCCAAGGCCCTTCCTGCCAGATCAGCTCTGAGGACCACCTCTCCTGAACCGGGACCATGCGGCCGAGCAAGCTTAGGGAACACAGTCCACCTGGTGGGCAGGTCCCCCCATAGGAGAGAGCAGTCCTTCCTGTCCCCCAAGCAGCCCCTTTGTTTTTCCTACCTCCAGCACTGGCAGAGCGGTGGTTGGCTACATCCCTGAGGGTCGGCTGAAGACCACTGGTGAGGACAAGCCTGGAAGCTGGGCCCCTGAAGCATCTGGGCAAAGAGGTGAGGGGGGGATGGGCAGGCGGGGACTACCGTGGAGGGCGACGAATGAGAGCTTGTGGGAAACGGGGTCCACGCAGACCCAAAGTGGAGTGACCGGGAGCTTTTACCAACTGTCTGCCACACTACTCTTTGGGTGGCCCAATCCACGGTTGATCGTGAAGGTTCTAGAAGGGCAGTGCCACTGACACAGGGCTCTTTGGTGAGAGTCAGCCAGGGCTCTGGAACATTCTGCTCTTTCAGGCTTCACGGTAACGCACAGCTGAGGAGGGGGGCCCACGTGCAAGGAGAAAAGCAGAGACTCGGGCCTACGCCTGTGGAGCTGACCCCGGACACAGGCGAGAAGCCCGGGGCCGGCAGGTGCACTGAGGATGGTTTCCCCGTTCCTCCCAACAGCAGGAAGATCGTCGGGAAGGAGCCAAACCCAGCATTCCCATTAGACCCTCGTCTCCTCACTAATTCCTGCAGAGTCTGACCAACACCAAAAGCAGCAGCCGGGCTGGAGTCTGGAGGTGCTCTCCGCTCACTCGGGGAGCTTTCCTCGTCGCGCGGTTGGGATTCACCTTCGAGAGGAAGCCTCTCTGGGCGCAGGTCTGGAGTTGACATTTGCTCACTCTTCCAGAGGAAGATTCCGAGGGAGGACTAGGGCATCAGGGGGAGCCAGCTTCGGGGACGCCCTCACAAGGATCGTGGTAAACGAGACACGAGATGAGCCCAGCTGGGGCAAGGCAGAACTTCTCAAAGACCAAGCCCACTGCCCGGCCTGGACTTCCTGAATGGGTTTGACAGACACACGGACATCTCTCCTAAGGAGCCCAGAGTACACGCTCCCGCAGCTCCGGGAACCCCCGGCCGACAACCCATGACCCCCCCCCCCCCCCCGCACCACGCAGACCCTCTGATCCAAAGAGGGCCCAGAGCTGCCCCCATGAGCCACAGACTGCTTCGGGGCAGCCCGAGGGCCCACAGCGAGATGAGAAGGGGAAGCGCGCCTCCAAACCCGCCGCAGTCCGAAGGCGTCGGTAGCAGAGAGTTACTCCTTCCAAACCCCTCTCGGACCCACAGCCGGATGCCAATGCCTAACTCCCAAACCAACAGCAGAGTTTCGACAGTGAAATGTCTTGCTCGTGAATTCCCGCACGCTGGCCCCCAACGGAAACAGTAACAAAACCCAAACAGGACAGCTGGCTGCCGCTGCCCTTTGCGCAAGTCCGTCTCCACTCAGACCACCTTGTCAAAATACTGCTGCGACCTCCTGTGCAAACTGGAACGTGGGGTGAGAACCTCGAGCTCCGGCTTGCGCTGCCCTCGTGCAGCCCGTGAAGACGTCTGGGCAAGGGGACTGAGCAGTGACTGCTGTGTCCCTCTGACGCTCAGAAGATGGCCGGAGTGAGCCAGAGCGGGACCGTGCTCCCCCCTCTACTGTCAGGTTTGCATTTAAACAGTGACTCAGGGGCGGGGGGGCTGGGGTTAAGTCAGTGAGGTTAGCCGGTCCCCCTCTCCCTTTGAGGTGCGTCTGCACCCAGCCAGCAGCCAGAACAACAGGCTTCTCTTTTGTTAGTTCAGCTCTTAGCAACTTCTGTGTGAGGCTTTGTTAGTATTCAGTGACCCAGCCGACACCCGGGGGTGCGGGAGCCCCAGCCTGGGACTGGCCGCGTGGAGTGGAGCTGGTTTGGTCTATTCTCGTATAAGCTCTGTTATGTGGTATTTTCACTGGAAAAATATTCCCCATTAGATAGATAACGTGGCCAAAGGGACTCTTAAAAAGAAAGATCATTTTTCTCTATGCAAAACAAATTTTTCAGCCAGGATCCCCTGAAACCTGCCCCGGGCCTGCAGCCGAGGCGGCCCCAGCCGCTTGACCTTTCCAAAAGGGAAGCACGCTTCTGCGGCAGGCTTCCCGCCGCGGTGCACTGCCCGGCGACCACCCGGTTCTCTTTCAGTTAGAAATTCATCTGCTACCTGGAGCAAGCTGCGAGGATGGGACTGGAGTTTGAGCTGCTGGACTTGCACAGGGGCCTTGGGATCGTTTTGACACAGAATAGCTGGTGGAGCCACCAGGTACGAACCCTCAGTAAGCCAGGCTCGGCTGCAGAACGTGTGGGTCGGTCTTCCTCTAGGGACCACAGGGCAGTGAGCCCATCACCGTATGGGTTCCAGTCATCGCGGAATAGCCTGTGTGACCGAAGCCCAGTGCTAACCCTGGCTGCATTTATTGGATGGGTGATGGAAGGGGGTGGGAGTACTGTCAGAAAGGAGGAAAGTATGGGTGGGAGCCACCGGCCAAAGTCCCCCCCACCCCCCTCGCTCCCTCAGTGAAAAGGAGGGGAGACAACTCTTTGCCTCCGGTGATCTAGGGTTCCTGGGCCTCAGCCAGCCCTGCAGGAGGCACACAGAAAGCTTGCTTTGGGTCTGGTGGTCATGAGCTAGAACCTGGTGCCTTTGGCTGGTCTTCACTCCACAGCAAAGCCGCATGTCTCCTCCACGGCCGTCAGCAGCTTCTCATAGAGCTTCTCATAGGACTCATACGGTGGAATGTCAATCCGATTAAAGCTGGAACAGGACAGAAGAGCGGGAAAGTCACTGCTGGGGGGATCTGGACCTCGGACCTGCTTCAAGGACAGGCGGGAACAGAGCATTCGTGCCCCTGAGCTAGCAGAGAGTGGTGAGTGAGAGTGTGTGTGTGTGTGTGTGTGTGTGTGCGCGCACGCGCAGGGACAGAGCCAAGAAAAGGGGGTAAGCATCTCCTTGCCTCGCTGGGTGAGGAGGCAGAGGCAAGCTTTCTGCTCCCCCCTCCAGTCCTCTTCTGCTCTGAAAGCAAAGATTTTTCATTGCATACACAGCAACACAGACCCTACAATCTTGAAAACCAAAATGAACTCAATTACTATTTCCTGGTTATATGAGGACAAAGCTCTTAGCTCGTTTTGTTTGTGGTCTTTGAGGAAAATTATTTCTTGGAACAAAACACCACCTTTGCAGAGAGCCCTGCAATCCAGACCGGCTGACAGGTCACCCCGACCATCTACCGCACGTCCAGCCAATCCCCCGTGACTTGATATGAGACGAAAGGGGGCAGTCTGGAGTATTTCTTGCAAAAACAAGCTGTAGCTCAAAACTAATAAAATGGCAAATCCCGGACACTGACATGAAATGAATAGAAATGAGTGAGGAGATGAATCAACATCTCCCTGGGGAAACTCATTTCTACTATTGTGTTTAAAAAAAAAAAAAAATACTCTTTAAGAAGGATATTCTCTCCTAACAAAAGAAATACAAAATTCTGACTGAGAGGCCATAGAGTGACTGACTAAATTACAAGGAGTTAAACAGGTAAGGATGGTTTTTTGAGAAAGAATTGGGGTGAATGGTGGGGAGAGCCTGGGCGGGGGGGCTTCAGCATCAGAGGACGCCGCCCATGGCTGTTGTGCTCCAGCACGGGACCGGGCCAGGACGTGGCCACGGGGAGGCGAGCAGCTGCTGAGCACGGATACGGTGCTGCTGTGCCGGCTGCGCTGGGCGGACGACCCGGGAAATGGGAAGCCACAGCCCTGGGCTCCCACCCAGGAAGCTTCTGTTGCGCCCCGTACCTCCTGAGGACCAGGACCTGGCTCTCCTGAACTAGATACGCTGGCCTTCTCGGCACATGGCTTCTGAGACAAAGCGTATGTAAGTAACTTGATTTTTAAACCACAAAGGAAGTAATCTGCTACAGATACTATTTAAGTTCAAAGTCTGGGGAAGAAACACTGTTCAGTACACAAGATGCATCATCATAGACTAAGTTCCCAGAAGGAAAATGGGGTCCCAGGAAGTGAAGACGGTAACTCCAGATGAAAACCTATAGTTTTGGAGCACATGGATGGCGTAGTTGGTTAAGCGTCTGCCTCTTGGTTTCAGCTCAGGTCCTGATCTCAGGGTCATGGGATTAAGCCCCGTATCCGACTCTGAGCTCACCGCAGAGTCTGGGTTTCTCTTTCCTTCTTTTCCTCCTCCTGCTCCTGCTCTCTCTCGATTTCTAATTAAGTCTTAAAAATAGAAACTATAGAGTTTTCGGGGTGCCTGGGTGGCTAAGTCGGTTGAGCATCCCAAGTCCTGATCTCAGCTCGGGTCCCGATCTCAGGGTCATGAGACCCAGCCCCATGTCACACGGACATGGAGCCTGTTTAAGATTCTCCCTCTTTCTCTGCCCCTCCCCACCACTCCTATGTACTCGCTCACTCTCTCTCTAAAAACTAAAATAAAAAAAAAATTTTAAAAGAGAAACTAGTTTTCCTGCAGAGAGGGACATGTGTGCTCGCACACATGAAGACAAGACTGGACCTGCCGGAGCGCCAGCCAACACGACTCCCATGTCACAACACAAATGGTTTCACGACAGACTTCTGACAACCTTCCTGCAACCCGTTGCCAAGTGCTCCTTCCGGCTGACACTGGGGCCATCGCCAGTGGTCCCGGGATGCTGATAAAGGAAGCGGAGCGCTCCATCCCAGAAAAGATCTGTGACAAGTCACGCGAAGGGCAGCAACCCGTGGAGACAGGCTTCTGGGGAACGGGCCTTACCAGGTATGGGCCTTCGGGAGGTTGTCTGTGTTGGCGTCGATGAGGTGGATGGTGAAGAGCCGGGGCCCTGCCGCGCCTGTAGAGCCTTACGAGAAAACATTCTAGTTAATGCACGTCAGAGGAAGGGCCCGGCCCCAGCCCCGCTGCCCACCACACCCTCAGCCTAGTGACGGGGCCGGCTGTGCTGCCCAAGGTCATGGGCTTCATGCGGCAGCATGAGCCTCTGTGTGGCTTAGCATCTGCTGACAGTGGCTATCCAGGGGCCTATACCAGACATTCTAGAAAAATCACAGGGCAAGAGCGAAGACTGGTGAGAACTCTCCTGTGCCCTGGCCACGAACCCACTTAAATGGGGGTATCTGAAGGATAAAATCCTTAAACTACCACTGATACTTCTTTTTTTTAAGAGAAATTTTTAGCCAGCAGGCCCACTACTGGCAGAGGGAGCAGAGTTTTGTAACAAAAGCAAGACACGGGGTCACAAAATCTCCCCAGGTAAAGGTTCGACGGGAAGAGAAAAGGACACAAACACCTGGGCCAAAAGCCCAAGGGGATGGAAGGAACTTCTGTCACTCAGAGAAGTCCTTGAAATATGGAGACGTCTACAGGGAATATTCTATACGTGAAATGTATCTGCTATCACTGTTAATATGCAAAATTCCATGTACTAGGTCTAAATATACAATTATGCCATACCTTTTCCTTTCTGGCTCTCAGGGTTATCAAAAATCTAGATGTCAAATTTTGTTTTTATCACCGTCGGAAGGGATGAGAGAACGGATACCCAAATTGAACAGTGGAGCCTATTAGGCAGTGCGTTTGCACAGAGAACAAAACCGAGTCCCAGGGAGGACCCCTGGGGTTAATGACCATCCCAGGAGCCAGAGACACCCACCTCCTGCTACTCAGGCCAGGCCTCTCTCCCCCATGCTCAGGACTGCATTGAGAGAACCACTATCAGACTCAGAAATGAATCCATGGTGCATGTTACAAACTCTGATCTCTTTCCTCAATGCCTTGCTGCTCTTCCTACCCTCCCTCTCAACCAATTCTGTACGGGAAGGGGAGGCACCGGTTCCGCTGGGCCCTTCCTCGCTCAGGTCTCACCACTGCAAGCGAGCACCCGGCTGGCCGGCCCCCCGCTGCAGACTGCCCCCCACACCCCCCTCCTCCCCGAGCCCGTGGCCTGCAGGGACGCTGGGAAAGGCGGGTTTGGCAGGAAGCTGGGTTTTGCTGACGTTCTCTCCTACATGTTACAGGTATTTTCTTGGGCAGAGGCTCACACAGCCTGGAGCCCCAGAAGTCAGCAGAAGGAAGAGCAACCAGAGCCCCCCACCTTTTATGCAGGAAAGAGGGTCTCTATAGCCCCTAGGGGGTAGGGTAGCCCCTTCCACAATGCTAGACAGTTGTTCTGAGGGAACACCGGCCACACCCATCCCTAGCAGACGTTTCTGGAATCCTGGCACAGCCTGGCAGGGGCGCGCCTGAGGGAGATGCTTGGGGCCAGGAGCCCCGCCTCCACGTCAGTCACCTTGCAAAGCCTTGAAGCCTTGGAGAGGGACCCGGGTGGACCCCGTCACGAACTGCAGGAGCCTGGCCCTCCTCTCCTCGTCGAAGGTCTCCACCGCCTGCCAGAACCACCGGACGATGTTGCTGTCGGCCCCGCAGTGCTTCAGCCGCGTGTTGGACTTCCAGTCGCTCACGTCGATCTTATCCAGGCCGCCGATGATCAGCTGGGAGGGCGTTCAGCAGCAGGTTAGTCCTCGGACGCACAAACCAGGCTCACGACATGTGCCCCCGCTCCAGCTCCCAGGACGTGAGAGGAGGAAATTTACTGCATCTGAATAAATGAGCCCCAGAACTTGGACAGGCAGGGAGAGCGGCGGTGTGCCCGATGCTGCCACGGTGGGCTGCTTTCGGACCCCCAGCTTCGGGCTTTCTCACAACCACAGCTCAGTGCTGCACCACAGCGGCGAGGAGTCGGTACGGAAGAACGAGCTGTAAAGTGGGGCCTCATCCCAGGGACCTCGGGGGCTGGGACAAGCAGAGGTCGAAGGCTGGAGCGGAAGGACCACGCGTACGTGTGTCTGCCCCGGGGTGGGAGGTGCCTCGCCGGGGACAGAAAGACAGAAGGATTTCATAGCCCTAAGCCATTTGGCTTCAGAGGTGGAACCGCTGTGTTCAAGCACGTACAGTGCGATCAGGGGAGACAATAACACTTTGTTCCGAGTCTAATAATAGCCAGAACAAAAGCAGAAAGCTGATGTGCTGGGGGAACCTGGTTATGTGCGAGATAACTTCCTCGATGCAAGGAGACTACACAGGAGGGGGTTAGGAACCTCCACTGACAGAGATTCTGAAAAATAAGATAAGCCACAGAACACCCGGCACGACGTCCAGAGAAGGATCTGGACTGGCTGCGGCCAAGCAGACAGACACTCACTCTAGCCCTGTCATTCTGGAGCCCCGAGAACCCCGGCCCTGCTGGGGACTAGGTAAGCCTCACTCTGCTGCCACATGTAAAACAAGAAAATAGGGATCACGCTCGCGACCTTGATTGTGGACTTGGCTCAGCCCAGTAAGCACCCACCTCCAATTCCTTCTGGTCAAAAGGCTTTAGTAAGTGTTGAGGAATGAGTTCATTAAAACCTTTCTGAAGAGCTAAGAACTGGGCTTCGATCCCCCTCATGAATCTCCAATTTACGTACAACCTGAAAGACAAATTCCCAGAAGTTGGAGGTGAACCTCCAGCTGAACCTCACCCCCTGCCGCCAGGCCTCCCCTGGGTGGTGGTGTTTGGGGGGAGGGGGCATGAAACCCCCCAGCAGCTGGTAGGACCGGGTTAAAAATAAGTCAGCCCAGGCCTGGACACATTCCGAAGCTTTACTAAAAATAGCAGTCGGAATTGACCTGACCTCTTACAGCAAGTGCCATCGTATAAAAGTAGATTTGAAAATAAGATTCGGGGACGTCATGAGAGCCACACACCAGTCAGGCCCCCCAAGCAGTCCGACGTGCCCACAGGCTTCCAGATTTCTGGTGTTGGCAACTCGTCATTTCTTTGCCGTCAGAGGTGGGACCACAATAGAGCAGACTTCCTCGAGACTGAACTCAAGGAAACTTCCAGGCTCCACTTCTCTCCTACGCTCACCACCTTCACACCCAGAATTGGGAGGCCACTTGGGATGGGGAGGGTCATTACTGCCCCTTCAACAGGTCAGGCCTGGTGGCATCGGGGCTCCTCCACGCAGAGCCTGCACTGCAGAAGCCGACGGTTCAATTACTGTGGTTCTGGCCACACGTGCTGACAGGAACAGGGAAGCCTCGAACAGTGAAGGAGCTGTGACCTCCTAAATGTGGACCCAGCTGTGCCTGGGACGGTCCAGGGCACCCGGACGCCCCAGCGGCGGCCACCATCCCCTGGAACGTTACCGGACATATTCTTTCTTGTTCTCCTCTGTGACAGGAACGTTTCGGCCGTTGGGCTTCAGTTCATGCTGGAGAATCCTCCCGAAGGCATTGTGCTCCACGCAGAAGGTATGGTCCAGCACAGGGGTGATATCGTTCTCTCTGTCGGAGTTAGGACAGAAGACGGAGGTCAGACCTTTGCCGCAGCCAACCGCCTGCCACCGCAGAGCTGCAGGAGGGAGAAGACAGGAGCCGCAGGCAGACACAGAGCCTGTGCCAGCGCAGGGGTGCGGGTACTGGGACGAGCCGGGGGACCCCAGATCCACGTCCATGTGCCCTGACTCTCGGCTTCCCCCTTCGCAGGAAGGTGATGGCAGCTCTACCATTCTGTGGTTTTACAAGACATGGTGACCTGATTGCTTTGTCACCTGAGTCTCTGAACAGAAAGGAGGGATTCACAAAGAGCGGAGTCCAAGGGAAAGCCACCTGCAGGGACACACACCTAGACGAGACCGTCCCCCCCTTTAAAGCAGCCACTCACACAAAGTAGCACTTGAGAGAGTTCAAACGGACTCTGCCACACTTCTGGCAACACAGAGTGAAAGCTCTCCCGTGGGCTGGAGGCCCCGCCCCTCGCAGACTGCCCGTTCCCAGTGGGGACGCTCGAAGTGGAGCCGACAGAGCACAGGACACAACTGAGTTCAGCTCCTTGGCGCATCCTCCCCCTGCCAGAGGCTGGATCTCTTGCTCCTGTGGACTCGGCTCCCTCCCAAGGACCATGTCCCCATGGATCGGGGCTGACTGCTTTCAAAAGCGTTTTAGGAGACTTCTGAAACAAAGGTGACTAAATGGAATTTTTCTTGATCTTTTTCTTGTATCAAATACTTTGACATAAGGTACTTTGATACTAATTTTGTTTTTGACTTTCCATCCCCATAAAAGAGTCGAAAGCAAACCACCCACCCATCTGTCATGCCCGGGACTAACATGTGTGATCCTTAAGAATTTGAGGAGACAGGGGTGTCTGGGTAGCTCAGTGGGTTATGCCTCTGCCTTTGGCTCAGGTCGTGATTCCCAGGGTCCTGGGATCGAGGCCCTCATAAGGCTCTCTGCTTAGCAGAGAGCCTGCTTCCCCCCACTCCCTCTGCCTACTTGTGATCTCTCTCTCTGTCAAATAAATAAAATCTTAAAAAAAAAAGAATTTGACAACAAAAGAAATTAGTCTATGACGTGAAACTGGCCAAACATCATGAAGAATGTTAAGTCAACTGAGTATTTCTTATTCTATCTACTTTTATGCATCTGGTTGTGAAACCGCATTTTCTTTCGCTAACTTCACACCCACCCCTCAAAAACAATCACACACAGGCACACATACACACACGCACAGAATGAATCTGGCGTACGAGACGGTGGCTGTGCACGAATTTGCCATTGTCTGAACGGTAAGGCTGTACTTACAGAATCCACACTAAGCTCTTATGTAATTCTGGATCCACCGACTCCAAATCCGAGAGCTGGATGGGCTTCCCCAGGAGCTGCTTATAGAAGGGAACCGTGAAGCCCCCGTTGATGTAGTGTCCGTGGAACACAGCGAGACCCATGATCCGGCCCACAAAATGGAAGTAAGATAGATGGTCCTGTAGGAGGCACCAGAGAACACGAAGTCATCAGAGAAAGGCCCAGCCAAAGTGGGAACTTGGAGCTTTGGGCTTTCTCCAAGCTTCTCCAGAGAATGAACTGTCCCATCATGACCTCTGTTACTCATGGGCTGTGCTCACCAACAGAGAAAGGAAGGCTGGTTAGATAGTCAAAACCCAGAGCATGTCTTCCGTAGAGATCATCTGAGCATTTGAAAGGCCCTTAGTTCAAACACCTCCTCAGGATTGCGACATCATTTGTGGCACTTGGTGTAGAAGGAAAATGCAGAACCCTTTACTCAGAAGTTAAGAATTTCAACACTGGCAACAGCAGAATCAAACCAAGCACAGGCCCTTCTAAGTGCAGGGTGCCTGGGAAGCCGGCCGCCCTCCTCCCCACTGTGCTACCAGAAAGAGAGCAGAGGGCAATCCCTCCTGAGTCCCTGGAGAAAGCGGAAGAGAAAAAATCCGAAGGAAGACAAAATGAAAAAGGAACATAAAGGAAAATTCTCTGCACGTGAAGCATTCTAAAACTAGAGCTCTTCTGGTTTTTAATGGGGAAACACACATCTCTGCTTTCAGTTGGAATTATAGTCAGAATTCATCAAAACCTCATTTCCATTTAGGCTCTGTCACATTTGAATGTATGTAGAGTAGAGCTGGTCCCAGACTGCCTCAGGGCCATGGGCTCAGCAGCAGTGACCACAGGACACGGCCCCACGGGGAGAGCCCTCCACACGCCGGCTGTCCAACCTCAGGCCGGTCACTCACTCCGCGCTCCCATCTTCCTCTCAAACGAGCCGCTAAGAGTGTCCGCACTTGTGGCCAAAAAGGCCAATTATGGAAAATTCTAATTTTGACTGGGAGAAGGTGGATTTCATAGCCCAGGTCTCAGAATGACATGGTCAGCAAATCCTCCTACCTCGGTTCCCTCAACTGGCGATAAAGGGCTCTGAGTAGTCCGAGCAGTTCAGTTTCACTCTTGCTGTCTTTGAAATAAACATACCCCGTGATCCCAGGCCTGGGAGAGAAATCATCCCCCTTAATCTGGTTCCCCCTCAGCCTTTCGCTATTTACCACAGACTCCGAGCAAGTCCAAAACGAACAGACCCAGGATAGAGACCAAACCTGGAAATCCATTTTAAAAAATGTTCCAATTTGCCCCTTCTTCGTTCATGAATACTTACAGGGTTGATTGAGGAATCTGGGTTGATTTGCAACATGTAAATGTTGTCCGTAGAATACTGGAAGAGTCCGTAATACGGATTCAACATTTCATGGCACAGTAAGTAAAGCCACTCCCTAGGAACAAGAACAGTGAAAGGCATTTTATACATGCGAGAACGTCCGGTCTTCGGTCTTACCAGACGGACGGGTTCCCTGTGCCCTGGAAGGCCCCACTGGTGGGGATACCCTGTCTGAGAGAAGAGGCCCTGCACAGACTGGGAAGGAACAACTTGCTTCTGGCTGAATGAGAGATGATGGCTTTTCTGGCCCTGACCCCGCACAGGTTGGAAGCTGAGGAAGACCCACGCTGACCCGAGTCAGGACCGCCCCCCCGGGCAGTCCTCTCGACAGCTACCTGGTCAGCTTTCCTGCACCTCAGCTAAAATTCTCTCAGCTACTGTGCAGAGACACACATCTTGGGTGATGACACTCATGCTGTGGTAGTAACAGACAAAAGTACCATAAGAAGGACCGAGATCCTAGTTTTATTTAAAAAAGAGTGTGCGCGTGCGCACATACACACAAAACAGGAAAGCTGTCTACACAGAGCAAAGAGAAAGAGGGGGACGATTTACGCTGACAGTAGTTGAGAATTAACATTCTGGGGCATTTGCAGTCTTCTTTTATTTCTTTCTAGAAAGTTCTTCAATTTCCAACTGTAACATGTTATCAACACTTAAGCGAGGAGAAGATATTTCACAGTCTGGGGAGATGGATTAAGAATGACTTTTTTGCCCTTCATAATCTTCTGTTTTGCTGAATTCTTATCTTTTGCTATAAACATTTATTTTATTTTTTAGAGAGCATGTGCACTCATGAGTAGGGAAGGGACAGAGGGAGAGAAAGAATCCTAAGCAGGCTCCACGCCCAGCATGGAGCCTGACCCAGGGCTTGATCTTCCGACCCTGAGATCATGACCTGAGCCAAAATCAAGAGTCAAACGTTTAACCAGCTGAGCCACCCAGGCACCCCAACATTTACTGCTTTTATAATTTAAAAAACAAGCTTAATACTTAATGAGACTAATTCTAAGAGTTCTAAAATCTGGGATATTTAAGAACAAATTACTTTCAGAATTCCTATATATTCCAATCATTTCATTATAAAAAGGCCCCAAAATCAGAAATAATAAACAAAACAAGCACTCTCAGTAGAATCCGGAGGAATCTGGGGAACATACGGGGAAAACCGTACCCAAGCACCTGTGCCACTTCTTACAAAGACCCTTTTCTTCTTTATTCAAAACTCCTCTCAAATGAATAAATTTCATTAAGATAAACAGACCCCAAGTTTTATTCTGGAATTTCTTACTCTGTCAAATAGAAAAGGCAGAGAATTGAGAAAGATTATGAAAGGATAAGCACACGTGCAAATAATTCAAGAAAACTGGGAGAGTACACAAAAAAAGAATCAGACCACAACAAAATTATGTATCAAACTCAAAAGAACAGAAAGGAAGTGCCAGAAGCAGTGAGACTCCAAATGTTACAAAATTCTTTACTAAAAAGGCGGAGTGCTCCAACTATAAGACCTGGATTCATCCCCAAGTTTCAGAGTTTGGGTTTGAGAAGAGTCATTTTCCAAAGCCAAGGACCCGCAACTGTCTAGACAGGAAGTGATTAAAATACAAGCAAACATTCTGACCGAGTCACGCACGGAGGTAGGGAGGCGTATTAGGTATGTTAAGGAAGTGGTAAGGAGAGAGCGAACTACACAGGCAAAATGGTTTTTTAACATTACAGGAAATGGTTCAGAACCAAACACTGGGGAAGTTAAGTGTAGACGGATTCTCATCAACCAGATAATGAATGCAGGCACACATATGTGGGATTTAAATCTCTCTAAAGCTCTCTGAGATAGATCTTATCCCCTACAGACACGAGGAAGGATCTGAGGGGTGAAATAATGCAAGACCCAACAGGAGGCAGGAAAGCCAGGGCTCACAGCTCTTCCCACTAGAGCACCGGGTCAACCAAGCGGGGGTCCCCAAAGACCTCTCCGTGTGGAAGACTTGATAAAAACGGGACGCGTGGAAGGAAGAGAACTCCTAGCACACGAAACCAAGCTATTCACGTGTGTGCCTGGGAACATGCAGGGCCAGTCATGCAAAGGAACGACGGCAGGTTGCAACAGTTCAGGACACCGAATTTCCGAGACTATAAAGGAAATAGAGAAAATGCAAGTAGTCAGATTTAAATTGTTGGGGCAGATAAGAACGTGTAACTAGGAAGATTCTCCGCTATGAAGGAGGACAGAAAGCCTAATCCTCTTAGCTGGAGACAGAATTTGTGTTATCAAAGGCAAACAGAAGTTATACTGCCAAGAGAAAGATGGTTTCTAGAATCAAGATCAAGTTCAAGAAGAACCTTGGGATGGTCTTGAAAGGAAAAATGTTTCCCCTGGAGAGCTGGTGCCCATGTGAGCTCATGCCAGGCGAATGCATGCCTTTCTGCGGCCTTTCTCCCAGTCGGACTTGGCAAGAGGGTGGGAGGAGGGAGAGACAGGCAGTGGGAAGAAGGTGGAGGACTGATTCCATCCAGGGCCAAGGGGCAGATCGTGACTCCTTGCTTTTCAAGTCTTTTCTTTCGGCTCCTGAAAAAAAAAAAATCCCAGCTCTACCCAGAAACCAAATGAAGCCACTTATAATGCGTATCAGAACATAACTGCTCTTGGGGTAGCTGCTGTAGGGCTGAGAATCTGCCCTAAGTGGGGAGCATGTGACATCCTGTCCCGACTTCCCAAGACACATCTTCACAGGAGCACGACCTCTTCGGTAGCCTCTACCAGAGCTGGAGTTTTAGAATTACTTATGTAATTCTTTCATTAATGTCTGTACCTCATGAGATTGAGAACGCCTTTGAATGGGAACTTGGGAGGGGTGAAGGGGGCAGAGGACACATCACTGTGTTCTCTGTCGTATCCCTAGTGCCTAATACGTGGTAGAGTCTCGACATTAATGGGTAATGAGTAAACACAGTCTTCACAAGAGCACACATTATAGGGGTGTTCTTGAAGAGTCAGTCCAGTGAGGACTCCATCACAGATGGAAGATTAGTAGTGAATTTTCTCATTTTATATTTTGTTACCCTGGAATCCATAAATGAGTATGTTACGATACCATAAAAAAATAAAAATGTGCCAGACAGTGCTGCTGGGGACAACAGTACAGAGGTTCCTCCAAAAATTAAAGATAGGAACACGATGTGATCCAGTAATTCCACTACTGGGTATTTGCCCAAAGAAAATGAAGACACGAATTCAAAGTCTCACACGCTCCTCTGCTTATTTACAATAGCATTATTGTAGCAGCATTATTTACAATAGCCAAGATATAGAAGCAACCTCAGTGTCCACGAACAGACGAACAGGGAAAGCGGTGATGTACGTACATGAGGGGATGTGAATCCGAAAAAAGGATGGGATCTCGCGACCACATGGACGGACCCAGAGGGTATGATGCTGAGTGAGACACAGATACCATGTGATTTCACTTACATGTGGAATCCAAAAAATACAGCAAACCAAACAAACAAAGCAGAAACAGACCCGTAAGGAAGGGGAACGGATGTACAGTTGCCGGAGATGAGGGGCCAGGGGTGGGGCACGAAATGGTGAAGGGGGTGGGAGGTGAGGGAATGAGGCCGTCACGGGGAGGAGAGGCGCAGCCTCAGGTCACGGTCAGTGGCGTGGGGAGCGCTCGCTGTACACTGACAGGTGGCGGCCACACTCTGGTGAGCAGAGCCACGGAACACTGTGTTTACGGAACACTGAGCTACACGTCGGAAACGAAGGTCACGTTGTGTGTCAAGTATATGGCAATAAATGTCAAGTATATGGCAATGAGCAGGTAAAAATAACTAGACCATTCCGAGCCACCACTTCTGTTCGCATAAGTAGAGTCCAGCTCGGAGTAAGGGGCCCGTCAGCAAGAGCGGAGCAAGGAAAGGGAGGAGAGGAAACCACGAGCAGGAAAAAGCCGCGGCTTCGGCGGACCCGTCGAGAATAGAACAGCCCCCGAGCACATGGGCTGCGCAGGCTGGGGGAACATGGGGATCTCGGGACTGGGGAAGGACTCTGCTGGGGTGGGGGGGTTACCCTGTGAGCAGACCCCAGAGAACGGAGGGAACAAGCTATGTGACACCTCGGGACACTCTAGGCAAAGGCCTGAGGCAGGCCATGGAGAGAGCGCGGCCGCCAGAGGGGGGAGGCCGTGGGGCAGGCCTGGGGGCACCTAGGGGGGTTGGCTGGGAGCCTGGGGCCAGGGGAGGACTGGCAGAGCCTCCAGAAAGCTGGTGGTGGCCTGTGTAGGACAGTGGGACACGGCGGGGCTGGGGGGGGGTGGGGAGACCAAGGGGAGCAGCCACCACGCATTCAGGAGTGAGGACAGGAGCCCAAGCGGGGAGCTGGGGAGCCAGAGGGGCCACGGGTGGTCTGGGCAGGGTTCTTTGCTGAGGACTGACTACAGGTGGATGGGCTCTGGGAAGTGACCAGGAAGTGGCTGGGGCGCAGGCTGGGCACCGAGGAAGGAGAAACAAGAAGCTAGTATGAGGGGGGCCATCAGAGATTTGGGACCATTAGGCTCAGGAGGCTTTACAAATCCCTAAGAGCCCAAGGCAAACAGGTGCGGCGCTGAGGGGACTGAGCAGTGGGGGTACAGTGGGGTACAAGCGCAGAGATAGAACCCGGGGCACACTCGGGCGACCCCAGGACCAAGCTGGGGGCTGCCAATGCTCCGGGGTGAGGACCGACAGGGGACTGCCAGGAGGCAAATGAAGAGAGAGAGGTGGCCCAGAACCCAGTGGAAAAAGAGCTTTGAGGACAGGGAGGGACCAACGACACCAGGTGCTGCTGACAGACCAGGGGAGGTGAAGGCTGCGGAGGCATTGCGGGGTCTGTGGAGATGCAGGACAGGGGAGAGCTTGACACAAGGGGCTTCAGAGGGCAGAAAGGTGTGCCGTGGAGGGAGAGAGGGGGTTGGAGAGGAAGCGAGAGATGTGGAGGCGGGGCCGGGAACGATCACTACCCTTGCGAGGGCTCTGCTGCAAGGGGAACAGAGAAGGGGTCAGTGACCGAGGGCAGTGCAGTTGCTCCTGGAATTCCTCCTTGTTTTTCTTTCTACTTTGCTCTGTTTGCCTTTGTAGTGCCTCCTTAAAGCACGGACAGGAAGGGGATACAGTGTCCGGCAAAGGTCTGGCGTCCCCAAGGTGGGGAGAGGCCAGCGGTGTGGACGGCATCGTCCTCCGGCCATCTGCCCCCGCTCAGCAGAGGCTCGGCAGCCCCCAGATGGGATTTTTCAGAGTCAAGGTTTTGCCAGACAAGTGCAACAAACGGAAGAGGAGAAGGGAGTGATGATGGTGGATGACGTGGCAGCAGGAAGTAAGGACGGGAAGAGAGGAGAAAAAAGAAAAAAGGCAGTACACTCTGGATGATGGGTGGTCCTGGATGGGCCTAAATTACTTCTGGTGAAGGAGGGACTAAAATCAGGTTGTCATCAGTGACAACGGGTGCTGAAAGAAAGGACAGCAATGCCTTCAAAGGTCTGAATGAAAATTATTTTCTTGGGGACACCTGGGAGGCTCAGTCAGTTAAGCCTCTGCCTTCGGCTCAGGTCATGAGCCCAGGGTCCTGGGATCGAGTCCCGCATCGGGCTCCCTGCTCAGTGGGGAGCCTGCTTTTCCCTCTATCTCTGCCTGCTGTTCCCACTACTTGTGTTCCTTTAAAAAAAGGAAGAAAACACATTATTCTGAATTACAAAGTCAACGAAAGATCTCCAAATGACAACAGCATAAACCAGGAAGTGAGAGTGTTAAACTGGGCCCTCAGCACAGGCATTACCCAGCCCATCTGCGTCTATGACCACACGTCGTGAATGTCTGAACTCGGCCAGTTTAGTGACATAAAATTACCCAGTAGGAGAGAGAGTTAAAAGCGTAAAAAAGGCAGTTGTCTCAAAGGTGTAAAGACATAGGATGGGAAATAGCAGTTTTTCATTCTTCTATTTTTAAGATCACTTCCATGAATGATTCTGACCATCACATCATTCTGCAGAGTTCCTCTGACACCAGTGCCCCACAGTCCTCTCCTGGGAAAAGCAAGTCTAACTGCCTCGCTACCGGACTGATTTCAAAAGCATGTCCCTCATGTTTCAGGTTTGGAGCTCCCGGATGATGCAGGGGTGGGGTGGGGGGGGGTGTGAAAAGCTGAAATCTGTCTCCAAGAAGTAAATTCAGGGCAAAGGAGACGTGCGTTCTGGTGGCTGTGACACAGCCTCGATCCCAGGAGCGCTGAAGGCCATGCAGGGGTCCTGACTGCCCCAGGACAAGCGCCTCTGAAAAACCTCCTGTCCCGGGGGTGCTGAGCCCCGTGCAGCAGCAAGCGGGGCCACCTCAGCTCCTCACCTCGCCACTCCGCCATAATCCAGACCTTCCTCTCCCCGGAATTTCACCATCAGCCGCTTCTTCAGATCCTTTGGCCGCATCTTCATGATCTGACGGTAAGACTCCTGCTCAGCAAAATGACAGTGTCAGAGAGAAGAACGGGTGGTATTTACAGTTACCGAAGGTGACAGGTTGTCGGTGATGGAGCCCCAACCAGGGTGCACGTACATTTAAACCCAAGTCTGAGCTGGTTCCATTCAGAGTGTTGATTTGGTGTCTCTGGTGTCCTGTATGCAGTGGCTCCTGTCACCTGATCTCCCTGAGTCTCCCTCAGGAACAAGGCAGCCTGTGCCTGGTGACGCCACACCAAAAGGACACCCCCCCCCCATTTTCAGCACAATTACTGAAGGCTCAAGAGCAAACATACATCCTCACTAGAGCCCATGTTCTCCAAATTAATTTTAACGTGGCCATACTAAGAACAACTTACATATTTGTAAGAAAGATTTGATTTATTCATTTGACAGAGAGAGAGAGCATAAATAAGTAGGGGGAGCAGCAGACAGAGGGAAAAGCTGACTCCCCGCAGAGCAGGGAGCCCAACGCGGGACTCGATCCCAGGACCCTGTCATCATGACCCGAGCCGAAGGCAGATGCTCAACCGACGGAGCCACCCAGGCGTCCCAGCTTCTGTATTTTAACCAAAATGAAGACATCCCTAGAGAATCTGAACAGTAAATGAATTCTGAGCCTGTCTTTATACTGAGGTGAAGAATCACAGGATTTCCAGAGTCAAAAAAGGAAAAAAAAAAAAAAAAAAGATTTAAGTAAGACACACACAGTAGCTTACCCAAAACACAGAAAACAGGTGGCCAGCCCAGCCTTCCCCCAGATTCAGTATTTTGAGTGGAACTAGCTAAATGCAGATATTTTCAATGATAAGGCACTTGAGAATCTTTTCATGCTTTAAATTTAACGTAATTCAAGCTTCAACATCCCCAGAGGGAACGAGGATGCTGAGTGGACATGCGCTGGCAGCAACATGTCAGTAATCGGCGATTTTCTCTCCCCAGCAACCATGTACGACGGCTCAATGGCCATTCGCCCAACGCTGGCTGTGCACAGGCGTCAAGTGTGGCCCCGGGCGCCTCCTCAGTGCCCATCACCCCGAAGACGCCACTGGGCTCCCTACAGGCCGGACCTCGCCCTCTGTGCCCATCCCATCCCACCCCCTGCCCAGCCGCTGCAGCCCGGGGGCACCTGAGTTCAGTTCTTCTTCAGTTTCTTCTGATCGCTTCTGCCTGTGATTCCCCTGGCAGGCAGGATATGGCCTGCACATCGCTGACATTTGACCTTCCGATCACCTTCCTTGAGAAAAGGGTCCTGTCTGCAAGAGGGTCCTGCCTGTTTAGTGGCCTTGACCCCGCCAGAGAGCTGCATGAAGGACAAAACCCTTTTCAGGAACCACCTCATCTTCCCGTTTCCAGAAAACACGTTAAAAATATGGTGGCCACCTGGACACTAAGCTGCTCTGGGGAGGCGAAGCCGTTGGGTGAAACTCCGTGCAAGGCAGTAGAAGGGATGACTGGTTCTGAAGAAAGCACGCAGACTGCGGGAATATGTCATCACAGAGCACATGAGAGCACTGGCAGTAATACTTAGTACTGGTTTCCATATAAACCTCTTTATTTTCACTCCAGAAGCTCTTGAGCTTTTCAACTCCTCCCAAAGGAGAAAACAGTCTCTCTGTACCCATTGGTCCCGAAAAAGCCCTGCAATTCGCTGAGTAATAAAATCAAGACTAGAAGGGGTGCCGGGGTGGGGGGAGCTCAGTGGGTGAAGTGTCTGCCTTTGGCTCGGGTCGTGATCCCAGGGTCCTGGGATCGAGCCCCACGTGGGGCTCCCTGCTCAGCGGAGAGCCTGCTTCTCTCTCTCTTCCCTGCTTCTGCTCGATCTCTGTCTCTTTCTCTCTCAAATAAATAAAATCTTTTAAAAAAAAATCAAGACCTGAAATGCCACAGAGAAAGAAGAACTCACTGTCTGTTTACAGGGTCGAACTGTCTATGCCTCACTGCCGGTCGCACTGAATTCCATACCTCAAATATTTCTTCTCTGGATACTTCGATGCGGCAGTGACCTGCCTGGGGTTGCTGCAGTGAAAGTTCGTGTCTGAGGACCTTCAGCTTCTGGACTAAATCTCTTTCGTATCTCTGGGCGGGAAGCTCCTCGTCTTCCACAGAGCCCTCGCTAGGCAACGGCAGCGGCTGGCTGGGCTCCTTTAGCTGGCACTGGTGACTTGAGAAGAAGAGAAGCATCAAGGTCACTCCACAAGTAGAGGCCAAGGGAGCCGTAAGGAATGCCCCCCGCACCGAGCAACTGGGAGTCATTACACAGAACTTCGAGAAAAAATGTTCTCTCTGCTAACATAACCATGTTATTTTTAAGCCCACTCATAAAATTCCAGTAAAATCAAGGACTAGGACTAGGGGAGGGATGGGGTAGCATTTGCCTTGTCCAGGTTTTGCCCCCAAGGGCAGCTGTCAACGAGAAGAACTACGTGGACTCTTACGTTCTGGAGGACACAACAAACCCGGGACCCTGAACATGGGATCCAAGGTAACTCCCAGTTCCAAGCTGTCCGGGAATGAAGGGCACGGGAAAAGGCTCCAATGAGGAGCATTTCAGGCTGCAGCAGCCCTTCCAGGTGGTGGCGAGCGAGCGCTAAGGAGAAGCTTCCTTTCGCTGTCCCTCGTTCTAAGGGCCACGCACTCCCTTGGAGAGCCACGTGTGGAAGCTTCGAGAACGGAGCTGTACTGAGTACAGACTGCCCTCTCGGTGAGTTTTATTGAGGCTGCGGAAAGGAAAGGTGGCCACGATACAGCTCGCAGCTCACCTGAGAGTCTGAATCATGCGCTTGTCGACAACAATTTATTGTATTTTACTTAGGCTTACTCTCCACTAACAACGCAGTAGAGAAGAGAACTGTTAGTAGAAAACATTAAATTATAAATGTAAGAAGTCAACAAAGATTTTATGAAAAGTCTTACTTCATGATGTGATGTAATCTTGGGTCTGTAAACTGGGTTGTTCGGTTATTATGATCTACAAAATATATTCTCCCCGAAACCGTACTTCGGACTTCCCAACCTGGTGGCAGTGGTCCAAGTTCATCACAATTCACACTGTTAAGGTCTCTACCAAAATGGAAGATAACAGAGAGGTTTGTCCATCTGTGTGTGGGGGCGGAAGACCGAAACTTCAGCAAGAGGTGCCACAGGAGACCCCGATCGACGCGGCCGTGGCTCCGTTCCACTAAAAGGGGGCAGTCATGTTGCTACTTACGCCAAACTCCCACCGAGTCCAGGCCTGTGTGCTGCAGTGGCAGCGACACCCGAGAAACAAAAATGGAGCCCTCAGAGCCTGTAGCCGTGATGGGGAACCTGGTCCACCCAGGGAACAGCATTTCTTACACTTAAGAGGGCCAAGTAGCAGGAAGTAGCGGACTGCTGGTGGAAAACTCTGAATTTACAAGCTAAATTAAATGCTCCAAGGTCACAGAGGTGTCTCCACTGAAAAGCTCCCAGAAGCCCAAGTTTAAAGCTCAAGGGGACATATTAACATGCCCTCGAAATCTCTCAGTTCTAAGCAGGAGTGCCCGGAAGTGGCATTCTCGGGCTTCAGTGGGCTCCGTTCCACAAGTGTTTCTGATCCCAGCCCCGTGGTTAGTGACTGCAATACAGTCCAGTCACAGTGCGGGGACACAACATCACTGACCAGGTCGCTTGTCTAATTAGTACAGTGGGTACTAAAGGGACACCTCATTCATTTGCAGGTAATATTTCCATTCTAATTATAGATCCTGAATCTTAAAATTCAACGGAGACTCAGAAAGTCAGCAACAGGAAGCTTGTTCTCAGAAGAAACGAATTATGAATAGAAAGGAAAGGAGCATTACTAAAAATGTTATTAGGTAGTAATGCTATTCTAAAACAAAACAAATTTTGAAAAAGAAAGCAAAACAAAGAATAAAAAAAAAAGAAACTTAACTCCATTATGGGATGGGGGAAGGGTGGGGGTCTCTCTGACCTGGGCTCAGATGTATGGCCTTGTAGAAGGAATTCGTATAGAAAAGCTTCATCTCCCCCAGGAATGGTCCCCAAGGGACTGAGGCAATAGGGACAGTAAAGTAGAAGAGAGAAAGGGTAATAGAGTCTTTATATTTCCTCTGTAATGTTTTCTCATGGAAAATTTTCACCCCATACAACAGTAGAGAGAGACCATTAACGAATAACCCACTCCGACCATTACCAACTCATCATCCACCTGTTTCAAACACGCCGCTACTCGCTCACCCCACCCCCCACCCCAGCCCCAATTATCTGAAGCAAACCCTGGATATCCTATCATTCATCCATTGCTTATTTTTTGTTGAAAATGACAGCAACACGCCTTGAAGGGCTCATTGGATTTTCAAGCAAGAGCACATCGATTTCATCTAGGGGCGAGGGTCTTTCCAGTTACGTGATCTGATTTCAAGATCCTGCTCTCTCAGGGACCCACTTTTGTGACAATAGCAGTGACCCGGTTACCGAGAGGAGTCCAAAGGGAGCAACAGAGCTGGGACTCCAACCCAGAGCACCTGCGTCCAAACCCTGTGACTCCTCCTCTCAGCACTGCCACACTTCTTCCAGCCCAAGGGCTGCTATCATCCAGCAGAGGGCCGGTGGGGAGACGGGGGGAGTCCCCCCCGAAACTACTGGAGAAAGGGCTCTGACCGTGCCCATTCTAGAAAACCCACCTTGGTATCCTGGGGTCGTGCCACGTGCTGACTCCAGTCTGTGTGTGCAAAAAGTAAACTTGGCCCTGCACCGTTGTTCTTTGTTCTGCACGAGAAACCAGAGGAGGCAGTTAGGGTCAATTCCAAGGACAGTTGTCAAAGCATCTTCACGGCACAGAGCCTAAGCCTCCTCTTGGTTTTCTTTTGAATCACAGGGACATGGGGCAGCGGTGAGCTTCCGCTGGCCCTGCTTGTGTCACAAGCCCTGCGTGTACTGTCTGGCGGGGGGGGGGGGCTCACCCCACTCCCACCTGCCAAAGCGGTGCTCCCCTTCCCCGGCCACAGCCCGCAAAGCGCAGGACGCACAGCCACCTCGGCATTGCCCTCCGCCTGAGCCCAGTCATCAACGGCCACTCTCATGTCTGCTACTATCTGCACATCTCCATTACATTCCTCCTTCCCTGGGTTCTCCGCTCTGGGGCAGTCAGATGCGCCCTTTCCCTCGTACCCGGCACAGGCCTTCCCACACTCACGCCACTGTGTGCTACACGTACCCATCCAGCCCACGCATCATCTTGCATTTTTTTTTTTTTGGTCTTCATTTGCCTAAAACGTTCACATGATTGCTAAACTGGGAGAGTAGAGCAGTTGCTGACACATTCACGATTTATCACCACCTTTTTTACTTGTCTTTATTCTGACACAGCCGTCGTATGGCCCGGCTCTGCCAACGTGGGCGGTCGGGGCACGGACGAGTCACAACAAAAGGAGCCATGGCAGCTACTAGGGGGGATGGCGGGGCGGATTCTCTCACCATAGCCTTCGGGCAGTTCTGGTGACTGGTGGCCGTGGGGTCGGTTCTGAGGCGTCTGGAGAGACCCCCGGACCTCGGGATTTCGGAGTCGCTGCGCCTGGAGTCTCTGATCTTGACTTGGGGACTCCACGAACCTGCAGTCCCCTCCCCCCGCAGCAGCAGCGGTGCTGTCTGTGTAAGGGGCCGGCTCCTCCATGAAGCAGCTGAGTGGCCTCCCGGGCCCCGAGTCTTCATACACGGTTCTAGAAAGGAGAGGCGGCACAGCGCGCATGGGGCCCCGAGCCCGAGACAAGCACCTAAAAACTGACCGCGGAGCCCCCCACACCTGTTACTGGGCTTTCCCTCCACAGAGAGGCGCCCAGCGCCCAGCTGTAGGAAATTCGTTCTGTCGTGTTTAAACAGACAGACTTATTCGTGAGCCACAAGCAGCCAAGGGGAGCCCTGCGGGAAGCATGACTAAGGCCACGTGCAGGATGCAGGCGCAGGGAGAGCTGAACGACTGAGAAACCCGACCTTGCGCTCTAAGGAGCTCGTGGAATGAGATTTCATGTTTTCTGGCTTTAAAATCAAATCCAAATACTCCATTTCCCTCGTTACTTTACTGTATAATAGAACTCGCGGTTATGTAAAGCACTGCACTGACTTAAAGTACTCTCGAGCATACATCTCCACCTCCTGAACAATTCTGAAGACAATTTACCTTAATAGGCTACTCCCCTCACAAGTAGTTTTTAGAAGCATCTTACACTGAAAACTTTCAAACATGCCCAAATTGAGAGACTGCCTCCACAGCCCACCCCCGCCAGCCCCCCGAACTCATCATCCAGCTACGACAACGGCCAGCTCTCAGCTACTCCTCTACTTCTCTCCTCTCTGCTAGATTATCCTGAAACCAATCCCAGAGTGTTTCCGTTTCATCCTTAAATATTTCAGCATATAATCTCAAGAAGATAAGGACTTCTTCCATAATCACAAACGAAAAAAAGGGCATTGATTTTTTTTAATATCATCAAACACCAGTGTCCAAATTTCTCCAGTCAGTGGGCTCATTAATCAGGATCTAACAGAGGTCCCCACACTGCATTTAGTAGTTAGGGCTCTTAAATCTCTTTTATTATTAATTTGTAGATTCTCTTCCTTTTTATTTACTCCTCTTGTGATACAGCTGTCCAAGACGGAGCGGTCCCCCACGCTCTACCGAGCGCCGCCTCTGGACACTGTTCAGGGCCCTCCTGCAGGGTGGGACGGCTCATTCCTCCGACTGGATTTCCAAGAGCTGCGTTAATGTCAGATTACCTCTCTTTGGTGGTATTTTAGCAACTATTAATGATTGCTGCCCAGCTCCATGAAGGCACTGGGCATCACAAAACTAGGACAGTGACCAAAGAGTTTTTAAAGTTTTGTTTTGTTTTTTTTTTTTAAGTGTTTCACAGCTTTTTTTGCTCAGTGTCATGGCTAGAATTTTTAATAGATTTGATGTGTTCCCATCTGTTGTAGTTTATATTTCTTACTGATGCTCAAACTCCCATCTCTGGCCAGTGAAAACCTCTTTGAATTGGATCCCGAGGAATCTTGCGGGCACGGCCCCACTCATCTGTACAGCTTCCTTTATAAACAGGGAAACCCGGCCTGTAACCCAAAGTCCTTTCCTGCATGCCGCGTGTTCAGCACCCAGGTGTGAAGGCTACAGTCAAGGACCAAGAGAGCCCAGGGCAGCAGAGATGCACGCGGGCACTGCCATGGGGATACGTACCCTTCGTTCTCTAACAGTCCCCTGCAGTCCACCACGGAGCCTCCAGTGCCTATCCTGTCTCGTGTCTGTAAACTGACTAAAACAGAGAAGAACGTGTTGCATTAGAAACCAGCGGCATTTCACACAACTGTCACACAGTGAGCCACTGCGAATGTGTAACCTCCGTACGCTATTACTACACAAAGCGAGGCACATGTACACACAGAAACGTATCTACTGCCAGGCTCTCCAGTATGAAGCACTGACTCCGCGAGCTGCTTGGAATAGTCCTGGGAAATGCGGAGAAGGGGGTGCTGCGTTTTCACCCTCCCCATAAAAGATAACAGAGTCACAATAGTCGCTTCCTCTAAGTTACCTCATTTTTAAGGAAGATCTTTAATGACACAGAGAGTGCTTCCAGTATCTGCAAAGTCTAGATGAATTTAAATATTTATCCTCTATCCCTACTCTGACAACAAAGACACGTATAACGTTGCTTCTAGGTATTCATTTTTCCCCCTGGCACACCACTCCACGGAGAAAAAGAAATCACAAACGGAAAAGCATTAAGTGAGAACTTTCTCATTATGACATTTCAGGATGTGTAACCACCTGTTCATTTATTGTGAGTCAAGTCTCTTCAAAGACAGTGCCCGAAAGATTTGGGGTCCTAACTCACTCGGGTATGCTGCTGAACTGCTGGGTTTTCTCCACCTCCTTGCAATGCACACAGTCCACGTGGGAATTACCCTAAAACGCTAATAAAATGAGGTGGATAACACAACAAGCCACCTGACAGGGAAAGCGCTTCCAACAGGATACCTCTCGTCAACACCTGTAACTTTAGCGTATCTCATTTTTCTCCCTCCTCCACAGTTCAGTCCTAACTCTGTAAAATCCCTATCACGCAGACGTCTTCCGAAGTCATCCTTGTTTTGTACACACACACACACACACAGTAGGTCTTCCTGAAGAAACCAGTTCTTGGCCCTCGCATGTGTGGCCACCTTTCTTATCATGTGCCCTTGGAAGAGACACTGACAAATTAATCGTCCATGAATGAGGTGCTTCAAATGGTATTTGAAATTCTAACCTGAAATCTTTTGGAAGCCTAGTCATGGTCCTCAACTTGGGATGACGGGATGAAGGGAATTAGATAAAATAAGAAAACCACACAAGATGAACGTTTTTAGTGCTGAAAAGATGACCCCGGATGTGGCCTGTCCTTTGACATCTGTCACCACTGTCAGTGCCTGCGTGTGCTTTCTCGATGAGGAAGCGCCGAATGTGAAAGTCTGTAAAAGCATCTCTTTATACAGATGAGAAAGTTCTTACCCACTATTTGGCCACGAACTGCATCAGTATCTGAGGGGTTTAGTTTGCATAGATCCAAACGCTGGTCTGCAAACAAACAATTCAAAACTTAACCCAGGGAAATGTTAACTAGGGAGGAAGGCAGGAATTGTGTATTTCAGTATTCAAAAGAAAAAAAAAAAAAGATGCCTCATGAGCCTTCTTCGGTTGTATGGAGAGGCAGAAAAGCATTTGGTTCTTACATCCGGTATCTTTTAACCGGCTGATGGCGTTGGAGAGCAGCCGCACACAGCCCAGAAAGCCAGCCCCCTGCTTCTTGTGGATTTTCTTGTGGTTCCACACGCTGATGGTTATGGAATCCGTTTTGCCGACATACCTGAAAACGTGCAAACTCCGGTTTAATTGTCTTTCTGAGTTAGGATAGCCCACTGAGATCTCACCTAATTGACTTGTTGGTACAAGAGCCCCTTGAACACGATGGGGGCCCTCTGGTCCAGATCTAACGGGCACTCAATAAATACATACCGACTCACATCAATGGTCTGGGAAAAGGCCTCCAGCCAGTTATAGAAGAAGCAAATGGACATAACTACATCGTAACAATAATCCGAGGACAGAGACTCACTGTATTTGCACAGCTCCAAAGGACAACCACAGGATTCATAAATTCCCACCAATTAGGCTTCACTGCAGAATACCAGTCTGCACCAAGGGGCCTTAAAAACCCAAAGATCCACCCGAGGCACACTACAGAGTCCTAACACAGACATTACACCCCAGCTGCTGCCCGTGCAAATCAACCAGAGGGCAGCTTTTGGGACAAGGAGTGACCACCACTCTCCAAGCCACTTGGGATTCTTGAGTGTAACTGCAATGAGTCTTGGAATCCAGTCCCTAAACATTCCACCCAAACTCAGTGCAATCCGTATCATACAAAACCAAGAATCACTCCACATTCCTTTGATGAAATTTTCTCAGCAGGGACATGAAAACGTAGGTGGATATAAAACGGTGGTTTTCAAAGTGCAATCCATCTTAGGAACGAAGGTAAGAAATTCTCTGATGGTTGCATAGGCTGAGAGACATTCAACCATACCAAACGATATTTTCTCTTGTAGAAAATCTACTTGTACTAAGAAGTGGGATTTTAAAAAAGATGGAAATATACATAACACGTTTGCATAATAAATATGAATAATAACACATTTTTTAAAAGATTTTATTTGTAAATAATCTCTACACCCAGTGTGGGGCTTGAACTCACAATCCCTAGTTCCATGCTCCACAGACTCAGCCAGTCAGACGTGCCCAAAATAATACATTAATTAATTCATAATGTCTGTCTTTGGCTCAGGTCATGATCCCAGGGTCCAGGGATCAAGGCTTGCATTGGGCTCCCTGCTGGGAGGGAGCCTGCTTTTCCCTCTACCCTTCTCCCCTGCTCATGATCTCTCTTGTTCTCTTTCAAATAAATAAATAAATAAATAAAATCTTTTAAAAAATAAATAAAGTTCTACAACCAAGTTTAGATTTTCACTGGAAAAGATTAAAAAAAAAAAAAACCACAGTATACAGAGGACCTGAACTATGGCCCCTATTTTTCCTGTTAACATGGCCAGGAGATAGAAAAGTTTGAAAACCACAGTTATAGAAGCAAACCATAAAAATCCATGAAAATGTCAAACACAAGAACTTCCAGGTATATGGATTCTAAAATTAGGCAGTATGTATCCATTTGGCCATCCAGTAAAAAATCAGTAAATCATTTTTATCTTTATTATTAAATGCTTCTCTTAAAAGCTAGATACCTACTTTCCTGGGGCTCCCCAAACGGCTTATACAATATTTGACTCACAGATCATAGTGCTGGTTCCATTTGGGGTCCAACGTGTTTTTCACAGTGTCCGTTGAGTGGCACTGCCCAGATCCGTCCACCACAATCTTTGCAAAGGGGTCGGGAAGTCCTAGAGGAGAGGGGACAGCCACACCTAGATGAGACTACAGATCCATCCACGGGACACAGAACACGGTCTTACAGGCTACAGAGAGCTTCAAGATCATCTAATTTGGTGAAGATTGCCCTGCTGCATTTTACTAATTTAGGGTCAGTCTGATGAGAAAAATAAGTTCTTGCTAGTTAGCTTCCTAAGAAAGGCAACTCAGTATGACAGCACTCTCAGATTTTTAGAGGCTAGAAAACGATTAAAAAAAAAAAAAAGGTTTAAATGCAAAATTTCATTTCCGATGATCACTAAGCGGGCTAATTAGCTGGAAGAAAAGGGATCTGTAATTAATTGTATTTAAACTCTCTAAAAAATAACCTAGAAATCTTGTTTATTGATCTTTGTCTAGTTTATCTATGGACACAAGTGTTCACCAAGTCTTAATCAGGAAGGTTCCTAAAGGCTGGTGTGTGAATCACATGGATTTACACGATCCGAGAGGTGGCACAGGCTGGGGCTTTAAAGATACACCTGGATGGGGGCCACTACTCCCCGGCTTCCCAGCTACTTAAATAAAGCCCGTAAGCCTAAGTTTAAAATGTGAATAATACCACTTAAGAGTTGAGCAGCACTCTTGTGAGAATCAGAAAGAGTGAAAAATTTCATGCTGCAGGCACCTACTCTATTGAATTTTTTTAAGTTAAGGGGTAATTTCTTCCTGCAGAAAAGGACCACCATTCTATCTTTTGCACTTTTACTTTTTTTTTATACTTCCTTTCATCATGAGGCTTTCAAAATGTGATTTAATTTCTAAAATTTGACTAACAATTTGACTCAAACCCAGCTATTTTATAGAACAAATGTCTCGTGTGTATTTGAGCTGAGAACACTTCATCCAGCAGAAAGCAATGTATTGATGGGTGGAAAGACAGAAAACAGGGTGCGGCCGGAACAGGGAATGAGAGAGACCGTTTTTCTGGTATGAGTTATTAACTCCGTGCCTCGCAGCTAAGGAGCCTCTACATTGTAGTCAACTTGGAAATGAAGCTGGTCAAATGATGAATCTATTCGGCAAAGGGCAGAACTCTTCCGGGGAATAAACCCAGGAGTTTTTTAAAAGTTGACATTGCAAAAACACGTGAGGAATATTAATATGGTTAAGAGAGCAAAAGCAGGTGTGTACTTACTGAAGAAGTCTTTCTTTGCAAGGTTCTTGGCACATAATACTGAAAACAAACAGAAATCTAGGGTTAGCCTTTATGGAAAAGATGTTCACCACCATCAGTGAAAAGTTGTTCACCACCATCACGCCCACCAGGACTGGGTTGTGTTGCCCTAACTCCAAAATGGCCCCCAATTCATGTCAGAGCCCTAAGCCCAATGTGACGGTGTTTGGAAGTGGGACCTTTAGGAGATGCTCAGGTTTAGGTGAGGTCATCAGGGTGGGGCCCTCATGGTGGGATTAGTGCCCCAACAAGAAGAGACCCCAGAGCTTGCTCTCGCTCTCCTCTCCATGAGAGGATACAGCAAGATGGTGGCTGTCTCAATGCCACAAGAGGGCCCTCACCAAGACCCACATCCGCCAGCACCTTGATTTTAGGCTTTTCTATCCTCTAGAACCAGAAATACATGTCGTTTAAGCCATGTCTTCTATGGTACTTTGTTAGAGCAGCGCAAATGACTGAGACATAAGTCTACATTTGCAATGGGGAAAAAAAATCTAGAACTTATCTTTGCCAGTGATTATCTTTCAAGTTTAGTACTATGCTAAACAAAAAACCTGACAAGTAACTAGAAAATATTTTCTCCTCCAATTGGAAATCAACTGTAACAAATATAAGATGTTTTAATTTAAACTTTAAGTGTTAAACATACAGAGATAAATTTATCAATATGCTCTTAGAACCGCACAGAATCACATGAACGCCAATTCAAATTAAGACCTACAATATTTACTTTACAGCTCCTGCTGACAGCAACAAAAGGAACTGCATTTTGGACATTCGGAGAAATAACACAATTTCGCAAATTCTAGATAATAGAAAGCAAGGGAGACTGATGGAAAATACGAGACCACCATCAAGTGTTGTGAAACATAAATGAAAAAAAATGCGTATTAAGAATTTAGCACAATGGGGCGCTGGGTAGCTCTGCGGGTTAAAAAAGCCTCTGCCTTTGGCTCAGGTCATGATCCCAGGGTCCTGGGATCGAGCCCCGCATCGGGTTCTCTGCTCAGCAGGGAGCCTGCTTCCGCCTCTCTCTCTCTCTGCCTGCCTTTCTGTCTACTTGTGATATTCTGTCTGTTAAATAAATAAATAAAATCTTGAAAAAAAAAATTTAGCACAGGGACGCATGGGTAGCTCAGTCAGTTAAGCGTCCGACTCTTGGTTTCAGCTCAGGTCATCATCTCAGGGTCGTGAGATCGAGCCTGGTGAGGGACTCCAGGCTAAGGGTAGAGATTCTCTCTCCCTTCTCCCTCTGCCCCTCCTTCTCTCTCTCGCTCTCTCAAATAAATAAATAAATCCTAAAAAAATTTAGCACAATGTTGGCACATAGAGAGAATACAATAAATGCTGTTATCATTATTTTAAATGACAAGGTGGCATCTATTTCCATGAAAAAATTTTGTTGCCAGCTGTTCCATGATTAAAGCTACCACCACAAGGGAAAACACACCAATGTCACTTTTCCAGCGCTCCACAAATTTTGCCAGTTTTTAAGAATACAGTGCTTTGCTATGAACATATCATTTTTATGTATATTCATATATACTGTTCCGTCAACTTTTCACTCGGCATCCTTCTACATCACAGCTTTTATGAGAGATAATTCACATACTATACAATTCATCTAAAGCATATAATTCAATGGGTTTTTGTATATTCACAGGTTGCACAAGCCCCACAATCGATTTTAGAACATTTTCCTCATCCCCTGGAAGAGATTCCACACCCATTAGCTATGACTCCTCACCGTCCTCCTAGCTGACCTCTAATCTACTGTATGTTTCCGTGGAGTTGCCTTCTGGACAGTTCACAGAAGCAATCACACCGTATGTGGCATTTTGTGACCGGCTTCTTCCACTGCGCGTGTTTTTAAAGTTCACCCATGTTGTAGCGTGAATCAGTACTTCGTTCCCCTCCGTAACGGGGTGATACCCTATTGTACGGACAGACCGCATTTTCTTTATCCATTCATCAGCTCAGAGACATCTGGGTTGTTTCCAATTTCTGGCTATTGGGAGTGATCCCATACGAGCTGTGAGGCAGACCTAGATTTTATTTTTCTGGTTGGGAATCTCTGAGGCATTACGTCTAACATTTTGAGCAAGTGCCTGGCTTTTCCCCATGGCACTGGCACTATTTCATCGTCCCACCAGCAGCATCTGATGGCTCCGATTTCTCCACACCCTAATACTTGTTATTGTCTGTCTCTGTGGTTCTTCATCTCTGTGGTTTTAATTTGCACTTCTCTGATGACTCATGACTTGGAGCATCTTTTCTTGTGGTTATTAGCTATTGGTAGATCTTCTTTGGAGAAATTTCTATTTAAACTTTTTTGCCCATTTTTTAATTGGGTGATTTGCCTTTTTCTGTCAGAATTCTTTATTCTAAATATATAGATTTCTATAGAGAAGCTAACCTTATCAGATATAAGATTTGCAAATATTCTCCCATTCTGGGGGTTTTCACCTTCTTGATGTTGTTTTTTAAAGATTTTATTTATTTGACAGAGAGACCACAAGTAGGCAGAGCAAGAGGCAGAGGGAGAGGGAGAAGCAGGCTCCTCATGGAGCAGGGAGCCTGACAGGGGGCTCGATCCCAGGACCCTGAGATCGTGACCTGAGCCGAAGGCAGAGGCTTAACCAACTGAGCCACCCAGGCACCTTCCCTAAGTATTTTAATCTTTTGGGTACTATTGCAAATGAAATTGTTTCCTTAATTACATTTTCAGATGATTCTAGTGTACAGAAATACAACTGGGTTTTATACATTCAACTTGTATCTTATAACCTTGCTGAACTCATTTATTAGCTCTAATACTCGATTATCTTGAATTTTCTGTATAAAGATCATACCATCTGCAGATACAGTTTTATTTCTTCCTTTCCAACCTGGACGCTTTTTTTAAATTTCTCCTGCCTAACTGCCCACTACCTCCAATACGAGACTGAATAGCAGGGGTGGCCACTCATCTTGGTCCTGACCTTAGGGGAAAGCATTCAGACTTTCAACCACTGAGTATGATGTTAGCTGGAGGGTTTTCGTAGATGCCCTATATCTGGCTTGGGAAGTTTCCTTCTGTTCCTAGTTTGTTGAGTGTTTTTATCATGAAGTGCCATTAGCTTTTGTCAAATACTTTTTCTGCATCACTAAGATGGTCATTTAGTATTTGTCTTGTATCCATTGGTATGATACAGTACATTGATTCTCAGGTGGTAAACCAACCCTGCATTCGGAGATAAATTCTTAAAGATTTTATTTTTTAAATTTTTAAAAAATTTATTTGACAGATGGAGACCACAAGCAGGCAGAGAGGCAGGCGGGGCGGGGGGAAAGCAGACTCCCCGCTGAGCAGAGAGCCCGACGCGGGGCTCGATCCCAGGACCCAAGACCACGACCCGAGCCTAAGGCAGAGGCTTAACCCACTGAGCCACCCAGGCGCCCCTCGGAGGTAAATTCTACTTGGTTATGGCACATAATCCTTTTACGTGCCGTATTCAGTTTGTTCGTAATTTATCAAAATTTTTTTGTCTATATTCATAATGGATATTGGTCTATAGTTTTTTTAACCAGAGTGATACTAACTTCATAAAATAAGTTGAGAAATGTTCACTCTTAGTTCTTTTTATAAGTGAAGAAAAGGTATTCATTTTTCTATAACATTTAGTAGAATTTGCCAGGAAGCCATATAGGCCTGAGCTTTACCTTGTGGAAAGTGTTTTCAATTACTAATCCAATCTTTTCACTTTTTACATGTCTACTCAGATTTTTCATTTCTTCTTGAATCAACTTTGGTAGCTTGTGTCTTTCTAGAAGTCTGTCAGTTTCACTTTGGTTATCAATTTGTTGGCATAGAGGTGTTTACAGTATCCCCTGATAATCCTTTTTATTTCTATATAGTCAGTAGTAATATTTTCTCTTCATTATAATCTTTATGCCTTTCCTTTCCAAGGGATGGACACACACACACACACTTTGTCTCTCTTTGGTCTCCTTTGTGGCTAGATCATAATTTATTATAACTCTTGCTGTTTTGTTTCTATAATTATAAAAGTAATACTTACAAAAAATGAAAACTTGGAAATGTGTAAGTAAAAAATTCATGACCCTGGAATCTCGTCATTAACTCTCCTTAAGATTCTCCTGACTACTTTCACATGCTTATTATTCCCATTGAACTTTCGAATCATTTTGAGCAAGTTAAAAAAAATTACTTAATAAATAAATTTGAGGGGACTTATCTCTTTACAATACTGAGTACTCACATTCTTGAATGTAGTACACTGATCCATTTATTAAATTCTTTAATGCTCTTAAGTGAGGTTTTAAAGTATTTCATAAAAGTGTCCCACATTTTTAATTGGGTTTATGCTTCAGTGATTTTTGGTAATATTGTGAATGGGAGTTCCTTTCACTGCATTTTCTGTCATTTGGATATAGGAAAGCTATTGATTTTCTTGCATTAATTTAAAAGCAGCCATCTTTTCCAACTCCCTTCAAATGGATCTGCAGATGTTGCCTCCTTCAACTTCTTTTTTCTCTCCCATAGTTTCAGTGTCTCAAAGGCTCTCACGTCAAGCTCAGATGTCCAAAACTAATCCAAAATTAAAGCTGAAATCTTCCCACTCTGCCTAAAAAGCTGGTCCTCTCCAAGGATCCATTACTTCAGACATCAGCAGCTACACCCATCAGTTGCACAAGCCAGAAATCTATGTGTCATGCTTTTACTTCTCCATCTCTCTCGAGTCTCTTGACTTCTCACCATCTCCACCCTTGTTCAAGTCCCCAACATCAGCCATCACCTAGTAACCTTTTCAAAATTTAAATCTCCTGCCTCCTTCCACACTGGCTTCCCATTGCAAAACTCCAGTCCTGTCATGCTCTAACCCCAACAATCTACCTCACCTCTTTGGCCTCAAACATTATCCACCAGCTCCCGGCCCTCGTTTTTCTAAGGTGCTGGTGCTGGGCTGCTTTTGACTGGAAGAATTCTGCTCACATCT